ATGCAGAATAAAATGAGCGATGTAGAAGCGGTAAAGGAGCTTGGCGAACAATACCAACAGCTCAAAAAGGAAATTGGTAAAGTGGTGATTGGTCAGCACGAAGTTATTGACCTGCTCATCCTCTCCATAATTTGCCGCGGTCATTCTCTCTTGGTAGGTGTGCCGGGTTTGGCCAAAACCCTTTTGGTAAATACGGTGGCGCAGGCCCTGGGCTTAAGTTTTCGCAGGATACAGTTTACGCCCGATTTAATGCCTTCTGATATTATTGGCTCCGAAATTTTGGATGAAAACCGCCAGTTTAAGTTTGTTAAAGGCCCTTTGTTTGCCAATATTATTCTGGCCGATGAGATAAACCGTACGCCTCCCAAAACCCAGTCGGCACTGTTGGAAGCCATGCAAGAGCGTTCTGTTACGGCCGCGGGAAGCACATACACCATGGCCGAGCCATTTTTTGTGTTGGCCACACAAAATCCCATAGAGCAGGAGGGAACCTATCCGCTTCCCGAAGCGCAGCTAGACCGCTTCATGTTTAACATTGAAGTGGGGTACCCCAGCTTTGAAGAGGAGGTAAATATTGTGAAAAACACCACCAGCGGGGTAGATGAAAAGATAAACAAGGTGCTATCAGCCGAAGACATTCTTCGTTTTCAGAATTTGGTACGGAAAATACCCGTAAGCGACAATGTTTACGAATACGCCATAAACCTGGCCCAGGCCACCCGCCCCGGCACCGATCGCGCTAAAGAAGTAACAGAAAATTACATCAGTTGGGGCGCGGGCCCCAGGGCCTCGCAAAACCTCATTTTAGGCGCCAAGGCGCATGCGGCCTTGCACGGTAAATTTTCGCCCGACAGGGACGATGTGCAAGCCGTAGCAAAACCGATCTTGCGCCATCGATTGGTGAAAAATTACAAAGCCGAAGCCGAAGGAGTAAGTATGGATAGTATAATTGACCGCTTGGTTTAGGGTTAAATTTCCTGCTTTTATTAGTAGCTTTGCCCCCGATTTTCGCCACCCTTTTGTATCAGCAATATGCCATCAACTAAATACATTTTCGTTACCGGAGGAGTTACTTCATCATTGGGCAAGGGTATTATTTCGGCCTCTTTGGCCACCCTTCTGCAATCGCGCGGTTACAGCGTTACCATTCAGAAATTAGACCCCTACATTAACATTGACCCCGGCACGCTAAATCCCTATGAACACGGAGAGTGTTACGTGACTAATGATGGCGCTGAAACGGATTTAGACCTGGGCCACTATGAGCGATTTCTGAACCGCCCAACTTCACAAGCCAATAACGTAACCACCGGCCGGGTGTATCAAAGCGTGATTAACAAAGAACGCAAAGGTGCCTATTTGGGTAAAACGGTTCAGGTAATTCCCCATATCACCGATGAGATTAAAGATCGCATCATGCACCTGGGCAACACGGGTGAATTTGAAATTGTAATTACTGAAATTGGTGGCACCGTGGGCGACATTGAAGCCCTGCCCTATATTGAGGCGGTAAGGCAATTGCGCTGGGAGCTTGGCGCAGACAGCCTCGTGATACACTTAACCCTCATTCCGCACCTGGCGGCCACGGGAGAATTAAAAACCAAACCCACGCAGCACTCGGTGCAAAAGCTGCAAGAAAGCGGAGTGCAACCCGATGTGTTGGTGTGCCGCACAGAGCACCACATTACCGAAGAAATTAGAAGAAAACTAGCCCAGTTTTGCAACGTAAAGAAAGAGGCGGTTATTGAGAGCATTGATGCGGAAACCATTTACGCGGTACCCATTTTAATGCGCAATCAAAACCTGGATGAAGTGGTTTTGAACCGGCTCAATTTGCCCATTGAAGACAACCTTGACCTGGTGAATTGGAAAGACTTCCTGTACAAATTGAGGTATCCAAAACGGGAGGTAGAAATTGGTTTAATAGGCAAGTATGTTGAGCTGCATGACAGCTATAAGTCAATTGTTGAATCGTTTATTCACGCGGGTGCCAGCAATGAGTGCCGGGTAAAAATCAGGTGGATACACTCGGAAAACCTTACCGGTGAAAGTGTGCCAAAGTACCTGGAAGAATTGGACGGCATTTTGGTAGCACCCGGTTTTGGGGAACGCGGGTTTGCCGGAAAGCTGGACGCCATTCAATACGCCCGAGAAAACAAAATTCCGTTTTTGGGCATTTGCCTGGGCATGCAAGCGGCTGTTATTGAGTTTGCCCGAAATGTTTTGGGATGGGCCGATGCCAATAGCACCGAAATGAACCCCGAAACTTCTCATCCGGTTATTGCCCTGATGGAAGAACAAAAGAAAATTGTGAACATGGGCGGCACCATGCGTTTGGGCGCCAACGATTGTTCGCTGTTGGAAGATTCCATTGCCTTTAAAACCTACCGCAGAAAATTGATTAGCGAAAGGCATCGCCATCGCTACGAGCTAAACAACGAGTTTCTGGAAGATTTGGAGTCGCATGGCTTGCGAGCTGTGGGGCGCAATCCAGAAACTGATTTGGTGGAAATAATTGAATTGAATGATCATCCTTGGTTTGTGGGCGTGCAATTTCACCCAGAGTACAAGAGTACCGTTTCAAACCCACATCCATTATTCGTAAAATTTGTTGAAGCGGCTGTTGAGCACAGTCGTCAAGAAAACTCTTAGAATGAAGTCGAAGATTGATATCAACACCGTAATAGGCTTTTTACTTATTGGCGGTATATTATTGTATTTCGGTTACTTTAACGCGCCTGAATCTACGCCAGAAGTGGCGGCTACCGAGCAGCAAAGTGATACAACCGCTGTGGCGGATGGTGGCCAGGAGAAGCAAGCAGAGGAATTGGCCAGTGGGAAGCAAGACGCTGAAGAGGCACCAGACTCGGCAACGCTGGCTTTGCTAAACACTGAAAAATATGGGCCCTTTGCCCTGGCGGCTTCACAAAACGATGCCGGGCAAACGTTTAGCCTGGAAAATGAAAAGCTGCGCGTAGAAATTGCCGCCCTAGGGGGGCAAATTGTTTCCGCAGAACTTAAAAATTACCGCACCTACGATTCACTGCCTCTTTATTTGATAAACGAGCAAAACTCCAATTTTAATATAGCCCTGGAGGCAGGCAAACGTTACTATACAGCCGATTTACCCTTTGCCGGTAAAATGCTAAATGACACCACCTTAGAGTTGGTACTGGAAGGCGAGGGGCAAAAAAAGCTGGTGTACCGCTACAGCCTTGGCCGTTCAGACTTTATGCTAAACTGGAATGTATT